TCCCTGTGCTCTTTCTCTGACTGCTTGTCATTGGTATATAGAAAGGCTACAGACTTTTGTAGGTTAATTTTGTAACCTGCCTCTTTACTGAACGTGTTAATCATTTCTAGGAGTTTTCTGGTGGAATTTTTAGCCTCTCTTAGATGTCATTTCATCTGCAAAAAGGGATAATTTGATCTCTTCTTTTCCAATTATTACTCCTTTAATTTCCTGCTCTTGTCTTATTGCTGTTGCAAGAGTTTCAAGCACTATGTTAAAGAGAAGTGGAGATAGTGGACAGCCTGTCTGGTTCCTGATTGCCAGTGATGTAGCTCAGTAGTAGAACTTTTCTAGCAGCCAGCAGGAGGCTCTGGATTTGATCCCCAGCATTATCCTCCTCCCATCTCTGTAGTTTCTGTATGTCTCTCCCCCATCTCTTTGTAGTTTCTGTATATCTCCCCCCATCTCCTACCCAGCTTTAAAGTAAATTTTTAAAAAATAAAATGTTTTTATTTTTTTTTTAATGTGTATGAGTGTATTGCCTGCATGTTTTATAAGTGCACACATATGGTATAATCCTCTTGGGAGCCAGAAGATAGGGTTGGACTCCCCTGAAACTAGAGTTACAGAGGTTGTTAGCTGCCATGGGGGTGCTGGGAACCACACTCAGTTTCTCTGCAAGAGCAGCCAATGTTCTTAACCACCAAGTCATCTCTCCAGCTCCTAATGTTTTTGTTCTTTGAGAAATTCCTGCAGTGTATTGGTCATCTTTACTGCCTACTGCTCCACCCCCCCATATCCATCCCCCAACTTAGTGTCCTTTAATTTTTTTAAATTTATGTGTATGCATGTATTGCGTGCATGTAGGTAAGTGTACCCCTGTTGTGCAGTGCCCATGGAGGTCAGAAGAAGCCGTTGGATCCCTGGGACTGGAGTTACGGACAATTGTTAGCTGCCGTGTGGGTGCTGGGATTCGAACCCGGGTCTTCTGCTAGAACAACTAGTGTTCTTAACTGCTGAGCCATCTCTCCAGCCCCTTTTCCTTAATTTTTAAAAATGAACCCACTGAATCCAATTTGTGCTTCCCATATAGTCATGGGTGTAGGGCCATCCATGGAAGCATAGTGGACCTACCAGAGGCCACACTTTTAAAGAAAACTGGAACCCCCCCCTTTTTGGGGGGTTCTTTTTGAGACAGGGTCTCCCTATAGCCCCAGCTGGCTTGGAACTCATTATGTAGACCAGGCTGGCCTTGAACTCACAGAGATCTACCTGCCTCTGCCTCCCAAGTGCTGGGATTAAAGGTGTGGGCCACTATACCCAGACCCCCTTCCCCTTTTTTAAAACCACCATCATGGAAGTTTGTAACATTGAAAACTCATCTGATCTCAAATTTTTATAAGTATGTTATTACTGCAGCTCTGTGATGGGTATGTGAGATTTATTTGCTGTTCTCTGTATTTTTGTATGTTTAAAATTTTTCTGTAGTAAATTGTGGGGAAAAAATCCTTTGGATGAAGTTGCTGATGCACTTTTTTTTTTTTTTTCTTCTTGAGACAGGGTTTCCTTAAATGGTGAAAACTTGTAAAATCTTCTTTTTAATGGGTGTTGTAGCCATAAATTTTCTCTTACACACTATTTTAAGCCTATCTCACAAATGTTGATAAGTTAAGTTTTTGTTAGCAAGTTCATAACAATTTCCTAACTTCTTTTTGAGTTCTTCTTTGACTTGTAGTCTATTTAGACATATCTTGCTTAATTTCCAAATATTTGGGAATATCCTAAAATCATATTATTATCAATTTCAAATTTAATTCTGTTGTGGGCAGAAAATGTACTGTGGTTTTGGTCCTTTGAAATTTATGGATACTTAAGGTTCAATATTGTTGGTGACCATTTCATGTGGAGTTGAATGTATATTCTGTAGGTTTTAGTTGAAGTATTCTGTAGTGTCTTCAGTTGACTTTTTTAAAAAAGTCATTTTGTGTGTATGTATTGAATGTGATGTGTGTGTGTGTGTGTGTGTGCATGTGTGTGCAGGTGCTTGTGCATCTGCAGAAGCCAGAAGATGTCAGGTATCCTGTTTATCATGCTCCACCTTATTCCCTTCAGACAAGATTTCTCACTGATCCTAGAGCTAGGCTGATGACCAGCAAGACCCAGTGATCTGCTTGTCTTCCCCTCCCCCCAGCAATTGGGTTATAGATCCATAGTGCTTCCCCATATAAGGACATGTTTGGACAGCAAGTGCTCTTACCCACTGAGCTGTCTCTTCAGCCTGTCAACTGATTTTTCTTGACAACATGATGTCTTCTGTTCAGCTTTACTTGAACCAGAACTTATGCATGCTACTAAGCAAGTCCTCTACTATTGAACTACATCCCCAGCCCTCTCTTTTTGGGGGGGTTGGGGGTCTTTTTGAGACAGGGTCTCCCTGTTGCCCAAGCTAGTCTGGAACTCTCTATGTAGACCAAACTGGCTTTGAACTCACAAAGACCTGCCTGCCTCTGCCTCCCAAGTGCTGGAATTAAAGGCATGGGCCATCACGGCTCCAGCCCTCTCTTTTTGAAAGGTTTTGCACTATTATCATCTGAAATGCATATACTTTAAAACAACTACAAGATCTTTGTTTGTATGTATATATCAGTATTGCTCATTCGTATGCTTGCTCTTGCTGACAAAGGTTTTTTTTTAATTATTTAAAATATTTTTACTTTATGTGTATGACTGTTGCTAGCATGTATGTAAATGCACCACATGTGTGCCTGGTGCTCTAGGAAGCCAGAAGAGGGCTTCTAGATCCCCTGGAACTAGAGTTATAGGAGGTTGTTAGCCACCATGTGGATGCTGAGAACAGAACATGGATCCTCTGCAAGAGCAGCCAGTGTTCTTAAGCACTAAGCCATCTCTCCAGCCCCCAAGATTGTTTTTTGTTTGTTTTTGTTTTTTGAGACAGTCTCACATTGTAGCCCTGGCTGACCTGGAACTCTGTAGACCAGGCTGGCCTCAACTCAGCAATCCACCTACCACTGCCTCCCAAGTACTGTGATTGAAGGCATGTGCCACCACACAGTCTCTGACAGTTTTTTTAAGCTTTATTACCATAGTGTCAGACTGTATCAAGTGATACTTAGTACAGAGCCTGATGTAATACTTGTTGAATTTAATTTAAAAATTGTTCTTTAAGGTACACTGAATGCTTCCCTCTCTTCACAGTGGTTTCACGTCTGAAACATGGCTATGGATTGGCTGGGCAGTATTGTGTCCATCAACTGTGGAGATAGCTTGGGTGTCTATCAAGGAAGAGTGTCAGCAGTGGATCAGGTCAGCCAGACCATTTCTCTCACCCGGCCTTTCCATAATGGAGTGAAGTGTCTTGTGCCTGAAGTCACCTTCAGGTGAGTGCTCTGACTGATTATCTTCCAAAGCCAGCCTGGTGGTCTGTGGTGCTGGAAGTAAGGTCTGATTAACAGCATGTCCTCCCTCCCTCCCTCCCTCCCTCTCTCCCTCTCTCCCTTCCTTCCTTATAACAGGGTCTCACTGTGTAGCTCTGGTTGGCCTGGAACTTGTTATGTAGACTAGGCTAGCCTTGAATTCAGAGTAGCTTGTCTCTGTTTCCTGTGTGCTGGGATTAAAAGCGTGCAATACCATGCCTAGCTGCAGCATTTTCTTGGAGTCTCTTTTGAGTTGAGTCTTGTCAGGTAAGAGATTTCATAGTCTTAGGTTTTAGAGTCTGTCTGCTGTTCTCAGCAGAGGCTTTGTGTTATAATACATTTTCAACCAAAGATTCAGGGTTTATAAAACCTGTTTCTTACCTCTGTTAGGTGCACAATCTTACTTGAATTCAGCATAGCTTTTTCTTTTATGGTTTCAGATTGTTATGGTTTGTATTTTGTGCTTTTCTGCATCAAAGACCCTTACTAATTTTTTCTCCCAACATAAATGTGTCTTTGTAGATTTGTATAATTTATATCCAGAAGCAAGCACACTGTAGCCAGTTAGGGGAACTTTTTTTCTTACTGTTTGCCAGTGTCCTTATTGTTCACTTGTGTCCTCACACTTCTCTTTTCATCAGTTTGGCAGTCAGTTTTCTATACTTACGCACCAAAAAAGAGATTGTCAGGTGACAGCATCCTTGTCACATGTCCTTGCACAACCTTTCCTATGAATGTACCTATTCTTCTTTTTTTAATTTTATTATTATTTTTTTTATTTTATGTGTACGAGTGTATTGCCTGCATGTATGTGAGTGCATCCGTGTTGTGCAATGCCGCGGAGATCAGAAGAGGGCTTCGGATTCCCCTGGAACTGTAGTTAAGGACGGTTCATAGCCGCCATGTGGGCGCTGGGAGTTGAATCTGAGTCCTCTGCAAGAGCAGTCAGTGCTCTTAACTGCTGAGCCATCTCTCCAGCCCCCCTATTCTTTTTTAGCTTTTTATTCTTAATTATGTGTATGTGTATGTGGCTTGGGGGCGGGGGGTGTCTGTATGTATATGCACATGAACACAGTTGTCCTTAGAGACCAGAAAAGCATTGCCTCCTGTGATAGCTAATCTTGATTGTCAGTTTGACACATGTGGGGAGAGGGAACCTCTTGAGGCATTTTCTCCATCAGATTGGCTATAGACCTGTCTGGAGAATTTTCTTAATCACTAATTGATGTAGGAGGCCCTAGCCCATTGAGTAGTACCATCCCTGGGCTAGTGGGCCTGTGCTATATAAGAAAGGGAGCTGAGCAGAAGCAGGGGAATCAAACCTAAAAGCAACATTCCTCCTTGGTTTATGCTTCAGTTCCTGCTCTGCTTCCTTGGATGATGGACTGTAACCTGTAAGCCAAATAAACCCTTTCCTCCCCAGAGTTAGGTTTATTACAGCAACAGTGAAGCAAGCTAGAATAGATCTGGAGCTGGAGTTACAGGTGGTTGTGGGCTACCCAGTGTTGGAACCCAGCTTGGGGCTAGTGCTCTTAACTGTTGAGCCATTTCTTCAGACCCAGCTGTACCTAATCTTTTTTAAAAATTTATTTGTATTTTTTATGTGTATGAATGTTTTGCTTGCATGTGTGTATTTGTGTCATGCAATGCTGGTGGCGGCCAGAAGAGGGCGTTAGATCCCCCTGGAACTGGAGTTACCAATGGATGTTAACTGCCATGTGGGTGCCAGAACAGAACCTGGGTCCTCTGTAAGAGCAGGCAGTGCACTTAACCTAAGCCGTCTCTCTAGCCCCAAGTTTACCTGTTTGGTCTCTGGAAATTATCCTTCTGTCAGAGCTGGCCTTTTCATTTGTGCTTGGGATGCCTTGTCTGTCTGCTTCCTTTTGACCTCACTTTATCTCTTCTGTGTCTTCACTATTAGCCTTTGTAATGCCTCTTTATATTCTCCCATCTAGGCCTTTCTCATAGGAAAAACGTGCTTCCTCTCTTTGCTTTTGCCACTAAATGCTGCCCTATCATTTCCCTTCCCTTTGTATCTGCAATCCTTAAGATAAAATAATCTGCCTTTATTTACTGTAGCCTCATTCTCTAGGCCTTCATTTGTTTTTCTTCTATCATCCAGGATTAGCTATTACCAAGCTTGTTAATAACTTAGTTGCTAAATTAAGTGGCAGTGTCTCAAATCTAATCTCATTGAATGCTTGCTAACTTTGGTAGTGCCCCTTTCCTTGGTGTGTTCAACTTGCCTTCAAGATTCTTCAGGCTTTAACATTGGTTAATTCAGGGTTCTATCTTTGATTTTTTTCTTAATCTTCAGATCAGAGTTTCTTAAACTTTTTCTACTCACCTTTTTTTCCCTCAGACATTTTTTTTTCAGAGATCTGTTGTGTTTTAATTATTTTTAAAAATATTTTATTATTTTTATTTTATGTGTATGCATGCATTGCCTGCATGTATGCAAGCACCCGTGCCATGCAATGCCCTCAGAGGACAGAAGAGGGCGTCGGATCCCCTGGAACTGGAGTTACTGTTGTTAGCTGCCATGTGGGTGCTGGAATTTGAACCTAGGTCTTCTACAAGAACAGCCAGTGTTCTTAACCACTGAGCCATTTCTCCAGCCCCTCCCTCAGACATTTTTAAGCAATTGTAGGATATATAGGTATAGAAAATAGATATACAAATAAACATCAATAATAAATCATAAAGAAACTTACTTTAAAACAATTCTTTGTTATATATGTAATTTTACCACATTTGCATACTAACAAGATAGGTTTACTTATTTATTTTTACATCAATAATTAAATCTTGACTGAATATGTAGTACATGGAGCATCTTCACTGTTTTTTAGAGTTAATTGATATTTTAGATTTGATAATTGCTAAAATATGAATTTCACTTCATAAATATGTACGTATGTAGTACAAAATGGTTTAGAAGTATATTTAGGGCCATTTCATTAGATTCTTGAAAATTCTCTCCTAATCCTAAGCAAAAATTCATTTAACTTTTTTTTTTTTCCTTGGTCTTTTTGACACAGGGTCTTCCTGTAGCCCCAGCTGGTTTGGAAGTCGATTTTTAGACCATACTGGCCTTGAACTCAGAAATCCACCTGCCTCTGCCTCGTGAGTGCTGGGATTAAACTGGGATTAAAGGCATGCACCATCCCCCCCCCCCCCATCCCAGTTAACTCTTTTTTAATGAAACTCAGTCACTAAGTCAAACAGCAAATTTAGAATCAAACTTCTAGCACAATGCAATCCAAAGATATAATTTGATACTTTATTTACAGTGACAACAAGAAAATATTGGAAGTCTTTGTTTCCATAATGAAACTATGTTTTTACAAGTGGAACACTTCATATCTATAGTAGAACCACTGCAATTCATAGCACAACAGTCTTGAATCTGAGCCAAGTTGTTTCAGGCAGTGATTATTGGTGATGAATGGCATGATGGTATGCTGGCATGCACAGTGCACAGTGTGCATGTTGTGTGCACAGACACCTTGGATTCATTGCTTATTTGATTTTGAATTCATTTTTGGTCAATACATATTAAGAAATCTTACTGTCACCCAATTTTTCACAACCCCACATTCAATTATGTGACACTGTATGGATCCATAATCCACAGTTTAAGAATCTGGGCCCATGTAATTTTATATGCACTTTTTTATACTTTAATAAGAACTCAAATCCTTGTCTTCAGTTTAAGTCCATTGTCTGAGCTATAGACACTTGGTCTACTGGTCTTTTACACTTGGATATACCAGGAGAGGTAATCATTCTGTTTATATGCGGATTACTTTTTCCAGAAATCTAGCCATATTGTTGACTAATAGCACCCTTCATTGAAGTTAGCTTTAGGAATTGGGCCAATGAGATGGCTCAGCAGGTAAAGGTGTTGGCAGTAAGCCTGACACCCTGAGTTTGATCCCCAGAACCCACATGGGTAGAAGGAGAGAACCATCTTCTGCACATTGTTCTCTACCTTCACATGTGCACTGTGGCATGCCCCTCCCCCCTAATAAATGAATCAGTGTAAAGAGAAAATTTTTTGGACTTTAGGAATCATAATAAACTCTTCTTTCTCTTCAATCCTCATGTTCATTTAATCACTAAAATGCATGTATTCAAAATGTCTCCCTTTTGTTACTGTCTTGGTCCTTGTTTTTTCTCTTCTTTCTTTCCTTCTTTTTCCTCTTACCATCTTTACCTGTATGATTTTTGTCTGCATGTATGTAAGTGTGCCACATGTACACTGGCCATGGAGGCCAGTAGACATCACATTCCCTGGAATTGGAGTTATAGGTAGTTGTTAGCCACCATTGTGGGTGCTGGGAACTGAGCCAGTGCTTTTAACCAGCCAGTGCTCTTAGCAGTTGAGCCATCCCTCCAACTCCCTGGTCCATGTTTTTTCATTTCTTGCCTGGACCTAACTGGTGCCTTCTCTCCCCAGCCTCTCTCCCACACCCTCCCTCTTTCTCCAGGAGTGCTCTGTGTAGCCCTGTAGTCTTGGCTGGCTTGGAACTCATTATGTAAACCAACCTTGTCTCAAACTTATGATTCACCTGCCTATATGTCCCAAATGTAGGGTTATAGGCATGAGCCACCATGCCCTGCTAGAGAAAAACCCATTGTGCTCATGATCTGGCCCCTGGTTACCTGGCTGTACCTTATTTCCTGATGGCCTTCCACAAACATTTTTCCCTTTTGTAACACTGTAGGTAGCATTTGCAGTTAATCCTGTATGCCACATTGTCACACCTTCTCAGTCTCTTAGCCTCTGCCTGAGATGCTTTTCTCCCTACTTACACTGTACTCTGCTTGACTCTTACCTTCTCCCACCATATCCTAGACATAGCTTAAATAGTCCACATACTGTACAAACTTAAGATGTTTTGTTTGGGGGCTCTATAGTTCATTATGCATATCTCTGTTATTGTATTTAACACTTTTGATTGGTTATGTGTCTGTTCTACTGACCAGACTGCGTTGCTTTTATGTCCTGCTCCTAGCCAGGGACTTAACCATATCCATTCTAGAGAATGCCTATTGAATGGGCAAATGAGTAAGGGGGAGGGGGGTTGCTGTTAAATGCCAGCGCTGTATGAGCTGAATGTTGGTGACTGAGCCTTGTCTTTAAATGTTCTGCCATATAGCCTGGTTTTTGCCTCTGGTAACTCACTGAAGTGCAATTCTGCAGGGGTGACTGTTTTCTGTTAATCCCAGTTTTATCCTTACCACTTTTCTATTGCTGTTATACATTTGAGACTTGGATTCTTGTCTATTTCAGGGCAGGTGATATTACAGAATTAAAAATTCTGGAGATACCAGGTCCTGGAGACAACCAGAATTTTGGAGACTTTCATCAAACAGAATTAGGCCCTTCTGGCGTTTCCTACCAAGTGGGTATAAGTCAAAATGGTACAAGCAAGGTGGCCAAGAAGCCAGCTTCTTCGAGCAGTGCCCCTCAGAATATCCCTAAGAGGACAGATGTGAAGAGTCAGGATGTTGCCATTTCTCCTCAGCAGCAACAATGCTCAAAGAGCTATGTGGACAGGCACATGGACTCCTTGAGTCAGTCCAAAAGCTTCCGTCGTCGACACAACTCCTGTAAGTATAGTCAAGTTGCTATTTATTTTTAACCTGTTGCTCTTAATAAAAAAGATTGCTGGCCAAGCTTCACAGAAATAAAGCATGTTTCTGTCATTCTAGAACTAGTCCCTTAAGATGTCAAGAAAAAGAAAATGAGTTATTAAGAGGTTTTTCCAGAGCTTCTTGCCTACTTCTATCACTTCCCTTCCTTCAGGAAAAGTTAGGGATCTGCCCAGTGTTGATGTTTTAAATCTGATTTTTTTTCACAATGATTGCATTATTATTTTTTATGTATATGAGTGTATTGTCTGAATGTATGCAAGTGCACACGTATCATGCAATGCCTGCAGAAGTCAGAAGAGGGTGTCAGATTACCCTGGAACTGGAGTTAGGATGGTTGTTAGGCACGATGTGGGTGCTGGGAATCGGAACCCGGGTCCTCTGCAAGAACAGCCAATGCTCTTAACTGCTGAGTCATCTCTCCAGCCCCTAAATCTGATATTGATGGTGTCTGAGTTAATTCTATCTACTTGGGCTGTCCTAGGAAATTCTTAAGTATGTCTGTTATTTGACTTCTGTTCTTAGAGCGGAAGAGACTAATATAGACATCTCTGTGATCTTTCATTTCTGACAAATTGATCATTTTACTTGTTACAGTGCTTAGAATTGAACTCAGAGCTTTATGCGTGCTAGGCAAACAGTCTATCACAAGCTATATCCCTAACCCAAACGGCTAATTTTTTATTTTTTTGAAATTAAATGTATTTATTTATGTGTATGTGTATGGGTACAAGCATGCCATGGTACATCTGAGTAGGTCAAAGGACAACTTAATGAGAATCAGTTCTTTCTTTCCACTGTGTGAGTTAATGGGGCTAAAACCAAGTGGTCTGGCTTGGAGGCAAGCACCTTTACCTGCTAAGCTGTCTCACTGCCTGCCTGCCTGGCCCCCTGCCCCCCCGCCCCCCCCCACGACTAATCCAAATTTGCTGTATTTACTGTCCCTACCAGAACACAGAACATCAAGGAGAGCGTGTATTGGTATATATTGCTCCTCAGTTCTCTTTCATAATAATAGATTATTGAATGCTATTTGCTGATTACAAACCATAGATGGGTCACTAGAACCTTAATGTTTTTTAACATATTCTCTAGAGTTATGTGGTGGTTGTGAACCATCACAAATTTGTGTTCCTTAAATCTTTTGTGTTCCTTAAATGAATATGAATGGTCTTTTTTTTTTTTTTTTTTTTTTTTTTAAGCAGGGTCTCCCTGTAGCCCCAGCTGTCTTAGAACTCACTATGTAGACCAGGCTGGCCTGAACTTACAGAGATCCACCCGCCTCTGCCTCCCAAGTGCTGGGACTACAGATGTGTGCCACCATGCCTGGCTCATGAATGGTCTTTTAAAAAATTACTTCTAGATAATAAACTATTGTAATGTTTACTTGAATTTCATACCCAGACATAGTGGCAGAATGTATTAGGCATTTTAAATGTGTATTCACTAACTTATAGAAGCTCATAAGTGAGAATTATGCTATGGCATAACCTTCTAAAAGGCAGAATTTTAAATGAGATACTTCTTTCTGGAACCCCCATATAGAGTTTATTACAGAAAATTCCAGGTCCTTGTAGCACCTCAGATTGGTCCCAGTGTGCATTGCAATGAGGTTTTAATGTGCTTCTCAAATTCTAGTTTGTGCTGTGACATTTGTGTCAGGGCTAATTTTTTGTTGTTGTTGTTGTTGTTGTTTTTTTGTTTTGGTCTTTTTGAGACAGGGTCTCCCTGTAGCCCCAGCTGTCCTGGAACTCACTATGTGCCTACTTCACCCAAAAGGAAAGTATAACCAAAGATTAAAGGGGATCAGTATAATTCTTTAAAAGTCCATGTGTATACCTAAAGGCTACATAACAAGAAACAATCTAGACAGGAGATATCTTCCTTTTAGTTGTTGGCCAGGGTGGCCCAAGAGACTCCCAGACAGTAACCCAGCATAGAACTGGGAAAATGAACAGCAGATCCCAGTCTTATCTAAAGGAATGTTGGCAACTGATTGCTGCTAGATGAGGAAGAGCTGATCTTTCTAAAACAAGGAACTCTAGATAGGCTGGCTAGATTGAGTGGCTGGTCTTGCACTGGGGAACAGCTGGGGGCACTGACAATACAGTGGACAGTAACAGGGATGACAGAGTATATGGGCTTCAGTGGTGGGGGAGAGGCTATGGGAGGGTACCATTTGGGAAGTGGGTATAAAGATGAATAAGATTGTTTGGGATGTTCTATATGAAATACAAAAAAAAAATCAATAAGAAAAAAAAGTGCTTACTTCAAGTGAAAAGATAACAATAAAAAAGTTCTA